AGACAAGTATTAACAAGTTTAGTGGTGTCTGAAAGTATTAATTAGATGTTTAACTGGATTGGTTAATTGTATTATTGCCCACAGCCAGTCTTTTTTGCAGCTTTAAAGAAGTTTTCTGCCTGGGACTTTCGTATTGCTTCAGTCTATTTGTTTTTAAATTATTTATGGCATTATGTTCCTGCCCCCAACTATTCCTTGCTGTTCTTTTCTGACCTCAGAAGCTAAGCAGGATCAGGCCTAGTGAGAACTTGGAATAGGATCCCTTCAAGGAGTATCATGTTATAGTCTAGAGTTGGCAGTGAAATTTCATTCTGGTGTGATATAGAGTGTTGATGCTTCTCTGTATAATTATTTATATTCACCATTTTACTGTCTGTTTTTTTCAATTATTATTGCTGGAAATCTGTTATTATAGCTTAGTAATAGAAATGAAACAATGTATTTCAGGCTGATTTTGGGAAGGTATCTATAGGTTTAAGAGCAAGAATGGGAGTGATTTGCCCTTCATAATCTTCCCATTCCTAGTCTCTTTTTTTCATTTTGAAGAAAAAAATGAACAAAAGTGCCACTGAAATTCAGCAACTCAATCTCTTGAGTAATGGTGGATCAAATGCAATCATCTTAACGGTGGGTTGCCCATCCCTTTCATAAAGCATAAATTTCATTGATGAAATTCCTTTCATTTCAGACCACCATTCTTCTGAAATGGGATAGATTTTCCTGCTTGAGCAGGGGATTGGACTAGAAGACCTCCAAAATCCCTTCCCACTTGATTATTCTGGAATGAAAACACTTCAGTAGATATAACAAACCCAGATTATCTGAGAATTTATTTTGATGATTAAAAGTTGACTGAATGAAACACATATGTAAAATATGAACATTCAGCAAAGAGTTATTTTATGTTAGGATGTTTTAAAGGAGCAAATATGACCAGTAGAACAGATTTTACAACTGTAGAGATAAATGAATCAGATTAACAACTGTTTTTCCTTGCTTTATGCAATTTTGCTATTATGTGCTTGATCATTTTCAGCCAAAATTTGTTTTATGCAAAACTAAATATCACTATTATGTGATTTATACCAGCAATCAATTAGTTCCCAAAATGTGGAAATATGCCAGGACTTATTCCTGTCCAAAGCTGAATATTTTTCATCCCAAATCCCTTTCTCAACCATTCACACATTTACTGTACTATGTCCCTTTTATTGTATATTCCATTTTCCACTTATTTCTTTAACTGCAGTAACTACTATTGTTACTATGGAACCAAAATCATAATCAAATTGTCCAAATCCTTGTCTAAAACATCAGTGACTTGCTTTATGTGAAGTTTGCAGAGAACATAATCTTAGCAGAAAGTGAAGGAAATCTGTTATATGCTTATATCCAATGATAATTTAAGGGATATTAAAGAAAGCTTATTAGAAAATTCTGAACAATGGAATTAAAAAACTAGAACTACTGTTAAATCTATTAGCTAAAGATGTAAATGCAAACAAATGAGAACAGAGCAAAGGTTATTTGAAAGTATGCTTTCACAGAAGCTGTATGAAAGAACAAGTTCATTAGCAAGGGTTCTTTTCTTGAAAAAAATAAAGTAAATGAAGCTTTAGAATAGCAAAGGGATTAGGAACAAATAAATGCTAAAGGTGCTACATATTATTGATGAAAGAAAAAAAGCAGTCATCTATAAGGTTGACTTCTCAGTGGTTATCCTGAAATACACAGTACCTTTATGAATGTGTTAGAAACAAATTCCCCAAGCAGACCTAACAATAGTGTTAGGGAAAGGGAAATGGATTCCTACAGGGAAAGAAAGCTGAGAGGAAATTACAATCAGAATAAAAAACAAAGACAAAAATTGTTTTAGATCTAAGAAAGCCAGATATTGGAAGAAGCAAATTCAATATTGAAAGCAAAGTGATATAAAGGGTTTTACAAAGAACTAGAGAAATTAATTAAAGGTATAGTGACACAGGTGTGGAGTACTGTAGTGTTTTTAGTACACAGCATTTGATTAACTGATCTTGATTCTACAAGATTATATACTGAAGGATTTACTTTATTGATAGCAGTAAAGCAGAAAATGCTAGAAATTTTAAAATGTAGTACCTAGAGAAATGCCGTTATTATCCTGTAATTGTAAAATATGTCCTAGGTTTCAGACTTGAGAAAGCTTGTAGAATAATAAGTTTAATAATGAAAGGATTCACCATTCAATTTAAAACTAGTGAATGTATAATTCCAAAGTAGTTAGCTGTTTTGAAGTGCTTGCATTAAGAATAACACGGGGAAAAATAATGAATCACAAAAAGAAAAAAGATGCATCAAATGAATATTCAGTCAAAAGTCCTTTGGAAATGGGAAAAGCAGAGCCAGATGTGCAGCTTCAATGCTTCCCACAATAATCTAGGACAAAAGATTTGAAAAAGACACTTGGAAGAACAAAACAAAAAGAATACAGAGATGTAAATAGTATGCAACTTTTCTACAGCCTGGATACAGTTTTATAATACAGAAAATAAAGAAGACAACAAGCACAAAAAGCAATTTAAACCCATTATAATGGATGTTTATGAGTGAGAACGGCAGCCCTCCCTGCTCTGGGAATGGAATATTACAATCCCAAAATGATTGCACTGGTGGCGCAGAGGTTAGAATGCAGTACTGCGGCTAATTCTACTGACTGCAGGTTACCAGCAGTTTGGAAGTTCAATTCTCAGCAGCTGAAGGTTGACTCAGCCTTCTATCCTTCCGAGGTTAGTAAAATGAGGACTCAGATTATTGGGGGCAATATGCTGACTCTGTAAACAGCAGTATATAAGTCTAAGTGCTATTGCTATTGCTATTTGCATTTAGCCTGTGTGTATTGCTAAATCATCCTAATGACTTCTTAGCTTGTAGTCCTTTGTCAACAGGATCCTGAGTGATCCTTTTTGAAGAACAGAAGAAAGAGAACAAATGCATCCTGGATAAAGAATATTCAACAGGATAATGATCCTGCCAACGAAAGGATTTGAACACCCTACAAGACAAAAAGGGGGCACATCTGGGCTTCTACACTCTGGAACTGATATAGATGGAGAAAGAATATCGAGCCATGTTAGTAATAGACTTTAGTCAAGGCAACGGTCAGCCCTGAAGCCATTTTGGGGGCATCTTCAGGGCTGCCACAGGAACGCCGGGTGGAGCTGTGGGAATGTAAGGGGGGAAGTAGAGTTACCTGGCGGATGTGTAGCCAAAATAGCATTCTTTCCTGTGGGAGCCAAGGACATTGTACCAGGTGTTGGAAGGGCATGGACCAGAGCCAGCCAGAGTTGGGACTGCGACCTGATTGGACCATGTGATGGACATGTGATCTGGGGGCAAGAACTTTGGGTTTTGATTTGGGTGGGGAAAACCCTGGGTCCTTCAGAGCCATGCCAATATGATATCCCAAATAAAATTATGCTTTGAGGAAATTCTAGGCCTCAGAGTTTTGATTGCTTTGTGATTTTTACTTGGAACCATGACAGCAACACTACAAAGGTTGCTCATTTGCTGAACAGGATGAGTAGGATGATAACTATGCAGAGATTTGTGATATCCTAAAGAGATCACGCTATCAAATATTAACTACATAAAAATATGGGAGAATCTCTTCATTATTATGTAATTCAAATGAGTTTAGATGATTAACCCCTATTGGTTGAGAAGATTTGATGGACTTCAGGAAAACAAAAGCTAAATTAGGTACACTGTACTACGTAGGAATGGAAAACAAAAGCCACCTCCTGGAATATTCCTCTTTCCTTTTCACCCTTCTGCCACCTTACCTGCTGTCTGTCAGCTGCTACTATAAGTTATCTGGAAAAGAATACACATAAATGTAAGGTTTCCTTTTTAATGTGGCATTATACAAAATGTATTATACAAAAATGTTTCACTCTGCTATGTAAACATTCAGTTCAATGCTTTAGCATAAAGCTTAAGCATACATCATAAAAGAAGCAAAACTATACTACATGCTAACTCATAAAGAGTTTACAATGGTTTACATATCACAGCAGGTGGTTTCATGCTAATCTAATTTAATTATAGTTTAGCATGTAAGATACCCCTTATTTAGATTACATGAGATAAAAGGCAAATCTCTTGCTAATTTAATAATGTTGTATCTAAATTGAATACATCCATGCAAAAAAATCCCACCCCAAAGTATAACTTTCAGCAATATACAAAAATAAGTATGTCTGAAAGAAGCTTAAAGTAAAACATTTCCCCTAGCTTCTGCATTATTCTTACTCATTTGATTTTTACTTGGGGTCAGAAATGAATCGGCAAAATTCAGCTTTAGCTCCTTAGTAGTAAATCCACCATGGGCAATGTATATTTGTTATCATTTGCAAAAGAATATAGGTGTGCTTAACACATTTATAGTTTTTGGTTCATTCTGGAAATGGTCAACTTCCATCCCTCTCATTTGGAACTTGAAGCACCTGCTCCAAGCTCACTACAGAGATGTTTTGAACACTTCCAGAATGTCTAGCCTCCTTCCTTCCTTCCTTCCTCCCTCCCTCCCTCCCTCCCTCCCTCCCTCCCTCCATATGCTGTCACAATCACAGGACTCTTGGTGGCTAACAAGAACATACAACAGCATATAAAAACATAAGAATAAATCAAAGAAAGCAAAACATCTGCTTTGAGGTTCAAATGCTTTGCATTCTGACCTAAAATGTCTTTAGAAAAAGCACTATGCAGAATTCAGCATTGTCAAACCATCAGTAATACAACTGCAATAGAGACAGGATTAGATAACATTTTTAAAACTGCTCTAGAGGAAATATTCTGAGGTTTTCAGAATGCCAGATTTACTAAAGAATCAAAGATTTGCCATAAGAATTTTAGTCCAGACTGCATATATTTTGGCAATTGTTAGATATTATAAGATTGCATCAGTAAAAACAGTTGCTTTTCACTTTTAATCTCTAAATCAGGATTCAAGTGCCAGCAAGCATAAGAAAGGTTATTTATTAGAGTGGTACACTGCGCAATACTCCTGTCTTTCCTGTTGATTTCAGGACTACAGGATTAAGTCTTAAATAAATAACATGTACATTGTATCTAAAATAAATATATAACTTAAAATGAAGCATCTTGTTAAATATTTTTTGGATTAAATAAAGTTCAAGAAGTAGATCTCTTCAGGAGAGTGTTTCACAGTTTTTCAGAGGACTATTCAGCAACAGTTTTGTAAAGAATCCAGTTGCCTGGTTCATGCCAAAGTCATTTTCCACTGGTAAGAAGACAAATTTCAAATCTTCTCGGGTTGTAGCTCCACATTGTGAACAGGTCCTCTGCGAATAAATGTGGTTCTGTCTCTCAGAGAATTCTTTCAATTTAGAGATATGATTTGCTTCTTTAACAAAGCATTATTTCCTTGAAAACAAAGTTGTTCTCATTCATACAAGTTCCTCTTTAAGCGTGTCCTAGAAAGAGTATTATCCATTCAATTGTGAATGTAGAACTTGTTTCACTGCTTAAACCTGAATTTGTAATAAAAGGATGCCTCAAGTTAAAACAAATCATTTACACATCATTTATAATACTAATTTTTAATGATTCTACACTGTAATATTGACAGCCATCTCCAAACAGAATTACGATAAACTAGAGCTATTTCAGGGTTAATGCAGACTAATTAGCTGGAGGCTTATATTGATGTATTCTCAATATAGAATTCAGCAGAACTAATGACATTCAACCTGCTAACTCCTACAGCAGATCCAGTTATACCCTCTTAAAGGACTTAATCTGATCAGGGAAATCCCATCAGAGGATTATGTGTATCTTCAAAATCCAAGATCATCTTAAAGGAAATGGCCTCCAAGGAAAAACAGAATATTTATTTTTGATACTCTAAAATGTGATCTACAGTAGCTGAAGAAATGCAATGGAAATGGGAAATAGCAGCTGCCAAAGAATGGCAAAGAGGGGTAAAATACTGTATATGTAAAAAAAATGTGCCTGAGCTGCAGAAATTTTCAGGAAAAAAAGTAATAAGTGCCTGGATTGCCATAGCAAAGTAGTTGACTGGTGTCAAGCCCTGTGAGGCAGACAAACTCAGAAATCAAGACTACTGAGATTTCTGGAAAGACCTATATTGTTGGTAGAATAAAGCACAGAAACTAGAAAGCCTGCTAAAGCAGCTCTCCAGATAAACTTGGACATGGCATAATTAAGACAGATTTACTCTTACACTTTTCCCTCCCTTGGGCTGAGGTGTCTCTTTTGTAACAGTTCTATTTCCTCTCCCATGCCTCACAACTACCGTAGTTCATCACAACTAGGTAGATCCCAGTGAGACAAAATGCAACAGCAGGAACAATCAGTAACATTTACTCTGGATTCTCAAAGTTGTTTCTAAAGAAATTCTTATGATTAACCCAGTATGATAAGCATTTCCTTTTTATGTTTATCTGCCACATAAGAGGAAAGAACCAACCCATTAAATAGTCTCTCCTCATACCAACAAACAGAAGGCCAAGTTTACCCAGATATTATATGCTAAAAGGGTTACCTTGCAGTTCTTGGACAGTTCATTGATTGACAGTGATGCCCAATTTAACCTTCTCTTCATTCTCTACATCATATACTCCTTTTTTGTGACATCTAGAAAATCGGAAAAAGAGGAGCCAAGATTAAAATTCTAAATTTACACAGATATTCAAAGAGGCCCTATCGTTGTTCCATTACTAATCTTGAAGATATGGGAAATCTCAGCCTGCATTTTTGGTAGAACCACCACAAAATATTGAATTCTTTGCACTAAAACTGGACTTTAGTCCTTTACTAGCTGGTTCATGTGAGGTGTCCTGACTGCCACTCAATAATGAAAAAAGTAATTTAATATAATTTCTAAAGTCATGTGGTCAAAGCAGAAGAACAAAAACAGGATTCAAATTCTCTGCATGTTTATCAACTATTTGTCATAAAGATATAATCTGCCTTTCTCAGAGGTTGTATTGAAATCAAATTAAGGCGAAACAGAATTTTTAAAAATCAGTTAAACTCTGGTATACTCTGTAGAAAGGCTTAGGCAAATATATCAGTTTAAGTTTCCATTCAGAAAAGATCCTTAAGGTTGATAGGAAGCTGAAGCAGGCAAGAGCTATAAACATTTGTGCATATTTAATAGAACTTATTGGATCTGTCAATCTTTTCTGAAGCTCAAATTCCATAAGGTAAAGGTTTTCTCTGCCAGTTATGCCCAACACTAAGGGGCAGTGCTTATCTCCAATTTACAGCCAAAGAGCCAGCATTGTCCAAAGACACTTCCGTAGTCATGTGGCCAGCATGATTATATGCCAAAGGAACACAAGAATACTGTTACCTTCCCACCAAAGCAGTATCTATTTATCTACATGCATTTACTCTTTACTGCTAGTTGGCAGGAGTGGGGCAAGTAATTGAATCTCCCTCCATCATGTTGTATTTGGTCTCAAACTGCCAACCTTCTGATCACAAGCCCAGCGTCTTAACTGCTCAGCCACCACGCTCCTTCAGATTCCATAGAAATCCTAAAGTTAATTTGCTTTGGAGACACTCAGAAAATGGTCACAAAGCACATGCTGTATTTCTATCATCAAAGTGCTATAGGCTTGGATAAGAGGCTATAGATCAGCGGTTCTCAACCTGGGGGTCACGACCCCTTTGGGGGTCGAATGGCCATTTCACAGGGGTTGCCAAAGCCCTCTCTCGCCCCCCCCACACCTTCACTCACCCTCACCCTCTGCCTCTGTTGGATTGCCCGGTCGCCGTTCGCTTACCCCGCCCACTCCCAATCTATTGCTGCCTCCGGAGTCCCAGCTGATGGCTAGAGGGAAAAAAAACTTTAAATTCTTGCTGCGGGGCTTCAAAGAGCTAGCTGCAAAGAGGTAAATTCCTGGAGCAGATTTTTTTTTCCCCCTAGCTATGCTGAAAAAGCGAAATTGAAAGTAAGCAGGCTGCAACGTGACAAAATGAGGCAGAGAGATTTCTTTTTCTTTTTCCTCACCAAAAAAGGTAGGTGCAAAACTGCAAACAATGGGAAATTTAGGGCAAAAGAGGAGAGTTCAAGATTTTAAAACACAAAAGAAAAAAAGCTCTATTTAACTAGGGAATTGTAATAATTGAGATACTATTAATTGTATATTGTGTTGAAAGCAGAAATGGTTAAGTTGTGGTTTGGAGGAATATATGGGGGAAATTATTTGGTTTATTATTATTGGTAAATATAATTAATTGATTTGTAAGAAATTGGATTGCATGGAAATAATTGGAATATTCATGTTCATATTGATTAATATACAAAAAAGATAGTTATATAACTAATTGATTTATATTAAAATGTTAAATTTGTATTAAAACAACTGTATTACATAATTAACCAATGTGAGGATGGATATAAAAATAGATGACAATGGGAAGGGGTATAATATAAAATAGAAGGGAAAAATTGAATTTGATTAAGATTAGAGATGAGGATGAAGGGTAATATTGTTTTTTTAAAAAAATAGATGAGGAATAAATATGGTAAAAAGGAAATATAGAAATTGTAAATTTAATTGAAATGACTAAATACTGTGTTGGAAGAAATATCCTTCTGGGTTCTGCTCCAAGTGGGGAAAAAGACACTGGAAACATGGAGACTGCTTGGAAAGATGGTTTAATGGTGGACAGGATCACATGGCTTGATGGGGCCCATTGTGTTAGTTTCTGTTGCTATTGTGTTGCAAATGTCCTTTGACAAAGGATTGACTTTCTGCCTCTGGCCCATTAACAAAGGGTGGGGGGCAGGAAGTTGGGAGCTGCTTTGTCTGTAAAATATGCTTCTCCATTTCTCATCCAGGTAGGGAAATATAATATTCTGCCTTTTTAATATTTCCCAAAATATTTCATTCTTCTAGGAAAGGGGTGGGTGGTAACCTCCTACAACTGTTTAAATTTGTGAACCGGCCAAATACTCTGTTCAAAGAAAATACGTTGTATGTTTGTATGTGTGTTTCTAATTATTGCTAATTATTGCTATTTGTTCTCTTTTATTCTTTAAAGTTTAACAATTCATTCTTTATCTTAATATCTTAATATTTGTTTGGGGTTGGCTTTCTTCCCTTTCATCTTTTTTATTGTACAGCAATCTTTCTCCTCAAACCTACCACCTCTGTCTTTTCTTTCTTTTTTACTTTCTCTTCCCCCCTCTTCTTCTTCTCCCTACTTCCTCTTTCTTCCTCTTTCTCCTCCTCTCTTCCTCCCTCTCTTACCTTCACTCCTACTCTAATTTCCCTTCCCTTCCTTCATCCCTCTCTATTGCTGTATCCTTTTATGCATATGGACTACTCAGAGGGCTGAAAAAGTTATTTTTGACTGGTCCTCGCACTTTTGACCAGACCTCGAATTTACGACTGTCCTCACATTTTACGTTTTTTGCCCTATCTTATACCATGTTGAAGAGAAGCAGTTGTGAAATGAGTGACATGTTGTTAAGAATGCTGCACAGGCATAAATGTGAGGATGGTCATAAGTGTGAGGACCAGTCAAAAGTGCGAGGACCTGTCAGAAATGACTTTTTTCAGCCCTCTGAGTAGTCCCTATACATATAGCCATGGCCACCTGGTTACATGACCAGCTAGCCACGCCCACCCAGTCACATGACCTCCAAGCCACACCCACAAAATAAGCCACGCCCACAGAACCAGTAGTAAAAAAATTTAGAACCCACCCTTGAGGAACTGTATTAAAGGGTCGCGGCATTAGGAAGGTTGAGAACCACTGCTATAGATAAAACATAAACCTCTCAGAGAGCCTTAGAAAAACAGAGATTATGCATACATTCTTCCTTCATGAGACCAGATTTCCAAATCATCATAAGTTGAAGGCAGTTCTATGACTCTAATGTAAATGAAGCGGGCTCTGATAGATGACCACTGGATAACTTTCTATTCACTCTATTCTAAAAAGCAATGCATCCGGTTGGAAAAAGTACAAACTCAGCCAAAATCCTTTTGATACTTTTAGGAGGCCTCTAAATTGTCAGAAGAAAGGAACATTCTAATGACATACATCTTAAAGGTTGGTTAGGTCAAGGGTATCCACATGAGCTGTAAGTCATTTATCAACAGAAGATAATTTGAATCTATGCTCCAGTAATGTACAGAAGAATTATGATTGTTTGGCAAGAATAATATGAAACTTTAGTAATTAGGAAATGTCAATTAAATATAACAAATGTATATGACCATATAAACTTCTGAGTTAACAGAATCCTTTGTTTGAAAATGTATAAAACTGGGGTCTCAGGATCATAAAGTTGTTCAAAGCATCATGTAAAAACTGGCTCTGAGCCTATTGCGCAATAAACTGTCTCTGACTAACCTAAGAATGTTATTTGGTCTCACCATTCCACAACAACTCCACACGTCTCAATCCTATTAAACTACTTGCCTCAGCATCAATAATACTGCAATGATGATAAGACACAGGGATGACAGAATCACTGCTGTAACTGCCAGGATAGTTGTACGATCGTAACCATCAAAGCGGTTTTCCACTGGAAGGCTAAGAGCATGGCACCTCTCCCCATGGTAGTCTTCCTGGCATCTAGGAATTAAGAATTTTAAAAATCAATACATGAAGCTTATTCCATAGGGCTGTAAAAACATGTGTTATTGATACATTTTGCTACTTTCATTTAAGTTCAATGAAAGAAAAGCTTTGTTCCCAATGTATAATCCAGTCTCTTCTCCACATTTTTCTTGTTGAGATTTTCAGTTCTGACTGTAATGCACACCCTATGCAGATTGTTTTATATATTGACGCCCTAAGCATACATATTAATTCATTCAAGAGTGAAAAAATATTTACAGTCAACAAATTAATTCTACAAAAGTTTTTTTTCCAGAAGATTTCTGAAAATCTAATTAGGTTTTAACCAGGCCTAGCTGTAGAGGATACTCTTATAAACAGAAGTAATTTGTTATTATTGTCATTTAGAATTGTTATTGTTTTCTTTATTTTATGTGTGTCATTTATAATTCTGTAGAACTGTTATTGTACAAGGAATTTATAAAACTACAGTACAAATGCCAACTTGCAGCTCCACCAGAGGGACAGGAAGTATCAAAACCTTTATAAGGCAGAGGTAGACAATGTGATGCCCATGAACATTAATGTGCCCCAGACACCTCATCGCTTCCCAATCTTTTTCAAATATTATTTTAATATCAAAATATCACGCAGGCATGTAACAAAATAAAGTATTTGCCTCTAGTATCTTGTTAATTGGCAGATAGGATCTGAAGAAGCTAATTCACCTTCCAGCCAATGCCTTTTTCCCTCTGCGGTTAGTCACTCATGATTTTCTCAGAAGCCTGTTTCTCTGGGAATTGGCCACCTCATGAGTTCAACTCTACCTGTTGCATATCCCCCCTGCTGTAAGACCTAAACATTTATTCTCCAATGATCAAAGAATAGGCTTAGCAAGGTTCATAGGTTCATAGGTTGCTGATTCATACTTTCTCACTGATTATTTCTCACTTTATTACTTTCCATAGTAAGAAAAGTTAAAATATTTCTTTCAAACAGAAATATGCTTCCTAAAAAGAATGTATTTGCATGACATGCTAAACCATATTGAGAGTAGACTTAGTTTCAAAGTCACAAATAATATGTCTGTAAATACTTTAATATTTTAAATTCTATTTTTATGGAAATGTTCATGCATACATAAGCAGACACACACGTCAAATTCACATTTGCAACTAGAATGTGAGTTTGCATTTACATACTGTAACATAATAGCAGTAGTAGGGTGATTCATAATGCTGCTTGGTGAGTTTTATAGCATTGTTTGTCCTAATGAAAGGTGTACATTTACATAGAGAGCTGTTGCAGAAGTTTTTCTTCTGTTTTAATTTCATTGTGTGTATTCTTACGTCCCTTTCAAGGTAGGCAAGGTCAGGAAACTGGCGCTATTAAGAGTCTTGGATAATGGTTAGGATATTGTAACAGAATCCTGAAAGCTGTCAAAGCTTTCCCTACTTCAACTTACTGTATACCTGACACAGTCAAAGTGAGGGTAGTTTTAAGATTCTTTCTCATGCTTTCTATTGTTCCAGGACTTGGAAATGAGATATGAGAATATCAAAAGTGGTTTTTATTTTGAAAAGTGACTGGATTGATTTTTGAGGAAAAACAAGATGTTTCGCTTCCTATCCTGGAAACCTCATCAACTGTATTGGATGGTGTTCGAGATGGAAGGACAATTATTGACAATTGAGATTGGGGGGGGAATAGGTGCTGACAGGATGGTGTGGGGAAATGGAAAGATTGTATGTTCTTTGCAGTCAACTGGTCTTACTCTCTGACAATCATTGTGGTTACTTGGGGTTTTAACTGAGTCAGATGTGTAGAATCTTCTTGGAACAGTCAATAGGATTGTGTTGTAAACTGGGGATAAATTGAGAGTGTCTTATCCCTCCTCCTCTGTTGAGAGAGGGCTGCTCAATTTTAACATAAATGGCCCCCTTTACCCCTCTTTCAAACCAATTGTCCTCTCTATCCAAATGTGGACTTTGCTGGCTTCAAAAGAGTGGCCCCTATTTTCCAAATGCAGATGGACTGATGACTCTTGTCCGGATGGGTTAGATTTCTTATGTTGTGCCATGCACTTGTGAAGTGCTCGCTTTGGTTCAGATGTACAGATCTGCACACGTCTCACTGCATTGCATTGCATATAATACATTGCTCTCTTTGTGTCTAGCTGTTTTATCCTTGGGGTGGACAATGTATTCTTGGCCTTAAAATGTACAGGTATGTGATGTTGATTGAAAATCCTCCAGGGCTTTTAAGATATTCCAGCTACATATGGAATGACAATTTGCTTTGGTTGTTACTCTCTTCCTTGTGTGTAGTAGAGCTCATGCTGGGTCTTTTTTTAGGTTTGATGAAGGCCAATTAGGATATCCACAAGTTCCAAGTTCTCCTTGGTGTGTTTTTCAAAGTAAAAACCATTTTTGATACAACTATGACCAGGATAATTGAGACTCCTCATAGACACAGCTCTGATGAGAGTTAAACAATGCTTTATTTCATCTTCTGGTTCTAGGTATAGAGGTGCAGTGGCAAAACAGACACAATTGTTCCCATTACAACATTTTAACAGCTCCTGGGATAGCTAAAGAGGAATTAGCAGTGGTTCTCAATTTATGGCCATTTATTTAGCAACCCTTCGAAGTTATGATGGCACTGAAAAAAAGTGATTCATGACTAGTCCTCACACTTACGACCAGTATAGTCACAATTGAGGAGTTTGGCAACTGGTATTTATTCATAATGCTTGGAGAGTCCTAGATTCATGTGATACCATTTGCAACCTTCCCAGTTGGCTTCCAACAAGCAAAGTCAATGGGGGAAGCAGGATTTACTTAATGACTGTATGATTCACTTAACATCCATTGCAAAAACCACATTAATAACTACCTTATTTAGCGACTGAAGCTCTATCCCAATTGTGGTCTATCTATATTTATAGTAAAATGTGGCTGAGCAAAGGATTTGCCTGGCCACTATTCATGTGATTTGTGCAGTGACACCCAATAGGAATTCACTACTTTTGTCAGAGTGATGAAAGCTGCATCACAGTATCATACCAGAATTTCAATCCCTCCTATGTGTGTACATGATGCATATGTGGCTTAGAATTGCAGCTTTCTCTGACATTCAAGTCAAGCACTATATAGCTCCAGACATCACTTGTCCATGTTTGTTGCACCAAACCATCTATCTTCATGTCATCTGGCAACCTAAATCAACTGTCATTATAGAATGGCAGAATAATAGAATTGGAAGGTACTTTGGAGGTCTTCTAATCCAACTCTCTGCTCAAGTAGGAGACCCTATACCATTCTGGACAAATGACTATCCAATCTCTTCTTAAAACCCTCCAATAATGGAGCACCCATAACTTCTGAAGGCAAGTCATTTCACTGATTAATGTTTTCACTGACAGAAAATTTCTCCTTAATTCAAGTTTGGATCTCTCTTTGATAAGCTCTTATCCTGTCCTCAAGTGCCTTGGAGAATAGGTTCCCCCTCTTCTCTGTGACAGCTGCTCAAATATTGAAAGACTACTTTCATGTCACCCCCAGTCTTTCTTTTCATTAAGTTAGACATTCCCAGTTCCTGCAACTATTCATTGTATGGTTTACGCCCCTAATCATCTTTGTTGCTCTTCTCTGCATTCTTTCTTGAGTCTCAACATCTTTTTTGTATCGTCATGACCAAAACTAGACACAATACTCCAAGTGTGATCTTACAATTGCAATATAAAGTAGTACTGACACTTTGTGTGATCTTGATACTGTCCCTCTATTGATGCAGCTTAGGACAGCATTGGCTTTTTTAGTAGCTGCAACACATTCCTGGCTCATACTTAAGAGATTGTCCACTAGAATTCCTAGATCCCTCTCACAATTACTCCTGTTGAGCCAGTTGCCACCTATTCTATACTTGGGTTGGCTATTTCCCCCAGCTTGATGGTGTCTTCAAATCTGATGACTCTCTTTCTAACCCTTCATCTAAATCATTTATGAAGAAGTTGAAGAGTATTGGGCCTAAGACAGAATCCTGTAGTATCCCATTGCATGCTTCCCTCCATGTAGATGTAGTTCCATTGAGGACTACATGATGGAACCCTGACATTTGGTTGGATAGCCAATTGTGAATCCATCTGATGGTGGTATTGTCTATCCCACATTGTTCTATCTTAACAAGAAATAGGCTGTGGTCTACTTTGCCAAATGCCTTACTGCAGTCCAAGTAAAGTATATCCACAGCATTTCCCTGATCCACTAATTTAGTCACCTTATCAAAGAAAGCAATAAGGTTTGTCTGATATGATCTGTTTTTAACAAACCATGCTGGCTTCTAGTGATTGTTTTCTTCATTTCTAGGTGCTTACAAATCCACTGCTTCATTATTTTTTCTAGAATTTTCCCAGGTATTGATGTCAGGCTGATTGGTCTGTAGTTTCCTGGATCATTTTTCCCCTTTTTTTGAAGATGGAACATCAGCTCTTTTCCAGGCCTCTCTTGGTTTCCCGGTGCTTCAGGATCTTTGAAAGATATGTGTCAGTGGTTCCAAAATCATATCTGCCAGCTCCTTCAGAACCCTGGGATGTAATCCATCTGGTGTTAGTGATTTAAACTTATCTAGAGTGGATAGGTGTTATGTTACCATTTTCTTGCTGTATTAGTTATGTGTCACTCTTTCCATATTTTATACTTGTCATTTTTGTTTTTCAGTTTATTAGAGAATTCCTTATGCAACCATGCTGGTTTCGTCTGGGGGTCTCTTATTGTTCTTCCTCAGTGGCAATATTGTGCTAGACTGGGATTTTATGATCTCATTTTTCAGAGTTTCCCAAGCTTCTTGGTTGTTTTCCCCTTTAAGATTTTCATCCATGGAATCTCTCCTAAACTCTCTCTAAGTTTAAGATACTAGTTTGACTTTGTTCTATTGCTTGAGTCATCTATCATCTTGGGGTGAGGGAAGGAGGGATAGGGAATATATTTTTCAAATAAATCCAAACCATTTCAGTAATATGTAATCAAAAGAGCATCAGGTTCAGATCCTCTAACTTACAAGGCACCAAAACAGTGCTAATGAAACCCAGATACAGAGACCTGTATTAATATTCTGACCAGTTTCATGCGTACCAATTTTTCCATTCTGAGTAAAAATGTTTCTGGTACTTCTGGTTCCTAATTTCTAAAATGGCTAAGATTGTCCTTCTGAAAGCAAAATTTCTGGACATATTGACAGTTTTTAAAAATCTAGAATCTACATGGCCCACATGATATTTTGGGACCTAATATACAATGAATAGGAAATATAGATCTCTTCTATGGAAGAAAAAAAAAGAATATGACTTTGCAAAGAATACCAAGAAAAACTTCCTGTGCTTTTTCTCAGTAAAACTTTAAGTACTAGATGATACTATAAATTACAGTATGTAAAGGAATATCCTGCTATTCTTAATCTTTTTTTTTTTTTTAAAAAAAGAGTTTCAGTATACAACTTTCCTCTCTTACTATCGGTATGAACTTCTAATTCATTTAACTGGAAAATAAATCTGCAATATAGCTATTGTTTTCCCTGTATGCAATTAACTATTACAGGATATAAATAGTATCAATAACTTACATACAAGATGGAGATTTAAGTTTCTTAATATATTTGCATTTTCCATGAATACAATAATCCTTGTATTTTCCCAAGCAGGGATCTCTTTTCTTTCCCTTTCCTTTTCTCCTTTTCTTCCCTCCGTTATTTGGAGTCACAGGTTCTTGCGGCTTGGACATGAAAGCAACTGGAAAAAGAAGGAAAACACTAATTTTACATTATGTGTTAGAACATTGAAGCATATCCCAGGTATTATAGCTCAAATTAGATTAGGAATATTAGCGCTTGCATTTTTTTCTAGAAAATTAAGTTATGTACCTCTCTCCCTAAAAATGGAGTTTCATCTAAATATTCATGGTAAGATGAATAAGCTATAATCTTGTGTTCTCCCCAAACACATTTTGCAAAATGTCCAAGATCCATGTTGTCATTTGGATACAACCAATATTGCCTGAATGACAGCTGAAGAATTCAAGTAGAAGAATCTGAGACTCACATAAGCACAATGATTCCTATTATCTCTAATCACAGTGCAACCTCAAGAGCTTTCTGGCATTATTGCAATTTTCAGTTATACATTTAGGATTCATACACACATTCAAAACATTCAGAAAAGGCATACAGAATTACATATGCCAAGGTTTGCTTTGTTCATGCTGATCACCACAATGCAAAGAAGCAAGAGATTGTACTGCTCTTTGCCTTTAACTTTTCTGGTTTTTTTCCTAATGCTGTTCACAGTCTTCCTAAAGCAGGTCTACCCCAGTTAACCAATGGCTGACTTATGGCATGCTAAATTTACAGTGGAGTCATACATAAAGTTAAGTTGCTTTTCCCATGCAACATGTTATCAAAAAAAGGACAACATGCATCAAGAAAATGGCAGGACAAGATCTAAAGGAAAATAATTAGTAGGAAAAAAAAGATTAAGAGCCCTGTTTATAATGTTCCTTCTGCAACAACAAAAGTGTATCATTGTGTAAAATTACAATTAAAGTGTGTTGATTTTCATTGTGTAATGGTTCCATGAAACCAAGCTTGAGGCAGAATAGGCATAACACATTCAGCAACATAACTGGCAAAGTAAATAGCTAAGTCATTTACTACAACAAAAAGAAATCATTCTTATTGAGCAAACTTGCAATTGCTCATAACTCCCAATAGGTAATAAAGGTAGGAGGCATGATAAAGAGCAGAGGTGGCACAGTGGTTAGAGTGCAGTACTGCAGCTACTTCAGCAGATCAGCAGATCAAATCTCACCGGCTCAAGGTTGACTTAGTCTTCCATCCTTCCAAGGTGGGTAAAATGAGGACCCAGATTGTTGGGGGCAATATGCTATTTAGTATACTGTCTTTGGTGTAAGCCGCCCAGAGTCCTCGGAGAGTGGGCGGCATAGAAATATGAATAATAAAATAAAATAAATAATAATGATTACCTAATTACCTAATCTCAAAAACACTAAGCAGAGTGGGACCTGGTTTGTGTTTGGATGAGAGACAACCGGGAAGCCCTCAGAAGAGGGAGTTGAAAAAACATGGAAGAAAGCAATAGCAAAGCATTTCTATGGGGTTATCAAGAGTAGATGAGCTTCACTTGAGGAAGTTTTTATTTATTTTTTTAAAACAAGTTTTATTGATTTTTCCTTTCACATACATATTTTATGAGCAGAGTATTTACCGAATCATATCTTATACAACTTGTCACATCCAAATACAATTTACGTATTTCAATTTCTGCCAAAATATTCTTTTTCCCTACTTTTTTATCTTGTCTTAATACCTTATTATACCTTAATACCTTATTATAAAAACAGTATCACCATCCACCCTTCAAATCCTAATTTCTTAATATTATTTCAAGTAATTATCTTATCTTATCCATTGTTAATCATACATATTCTCTTTTAACTTTCATATTAGTTCATTCTTCATCCTAATAAGTTTGAGTATACTCAGGGTTGCCCTTCTACCATTCCATGTCACTTATTTTACAACAATCCTTCTTCTCCTCTCCTCTCTTTTCCTTCCCTCCCTTCTTATATCCTTTTCTACTCTCTTCTTTCCTCCTCTCCTTTCCCTTCTCTCCTTCCCCTTCCTTTCCCCCACTCCTCCTTTCTTACTTGAGGAAGTTTTTAGAGTATAGATCACGCATGTCAAACTCGTTTGTATCATGTGACATATCGTGATTTTTTTGCTTTTGCAGAGCTGGGGTAGACATGGCCTGCACGTTATGCATCCGGCCCTTGGGTCGCCAATTTGACAGGACTGGCTAGATCACTGCTTATCATTCTGACCAGTGGTGAAATCTGAACTGGTTTGCCACCGGTTTGCTGGTTACGCATGCGTGGTGTGCGCCAAGCGCAGGTGCATGTGCAGTGCGCACCAAATGCATGCTGCACACATATTCGCAGTACGCGCCAAACATGATCTGTGCATATGCATAGTGCACACCAAATGCACGCTACATGCATGCATGCACAGTGCACACCAAATGCATGCTGCGTATGCGCATGTGCAGTTTACACCAAATGTGTGCTGCGCACGGAAAAAGGAGACTTGGGAAGGTAAGTAGAACAGTGAGGGGAGGAAACAGCTGTGCCGTGTGAATTAGATTCACTAGTAAGCAGGATTTCCTGCTTTCTAGCAAATATAAATCACACGGCACAGCTGATGGTTGGAAATACCGGTTCGAAGGAACCAGTAGCTTTTTTTTACTAACAGTTCACCCGAACTGGTAGTTTTTATCACTACCAGTTCACCCGAACTGATGCGAACCGGTAGCATTTCACCACTGATTCTGACCCCAGCTATAGATCATTACCTAGTTCAACTAGGAAAGGGTAGGGAAAAGTGGAAGTATTGAACTATTCTATTATCCACTATATATCTATTAGATCTCCAGAAATGTAAATGAAATATATAGCACAGTTCTCAAAAATCAGAAGGAAAGCAGGAGCACTTTGAGTGATTTTTAAAATCTCTGTATGTACACACACACACACCAGGAGTTGAGGACTCTTAATGACTAAAACAAACAGGTCAGCTGAGTAGACAGTCTTAACTATATGGAAAGACTGGATCCAAAGATATGCTGAATAGTCAACCTAGTTAAGAAGAGCAGCTCAGTGTTCTTCCCACACATTTGCTATGACTATTTCATGGGCATCACTATTTGGCAGAAAGCATGCTAGGGTCTCAAGACATAAATAGGCAAAGGGGATGAAATGGAAACCCAAGCTAGACGCCCCCAGATGGTACAATTTCGCCCTAGTGACTAAACTCAGTAAGGTAAGAAGAGCCACACTGTGTGGGACAGGAACTGTGAGTCATTTGTGGATCCTCTCATCAATTGACAGCATTTACAGACTGGAAAATTAATATTTCTGTCTGGACAGACCCACACATAAAGTAATTAACATGTGGGGATAAGCAATAGGTTCTATATGGCCAGGACCATTATTCACCAGCTAATCCTTTCTCAAATTTCCCAGTGACTTTAATTCTATACAGTAGTGAAAATGCCAACTAGGCTTACTTATTTTATTATATTTAAGAATACTGTTGCCATGGAATTTCAATGCTAGAAAATGTTTCCCTTAGATGAAGGAAATTTTGTCAATAGGATGAGGAGGGGGAAGAGGGAGGGAAATACTGATGTCACCAAGTTTGTAGATCCTTAGAGGAAAATTAGTGAAGGAGAAAAAATAAGCCCAAAACATATTACATCTCTATAAAAGTGAGAGCACCAACTAGCAGTAGATTATATATTGTTCTGCTATTAAAAATGCAGAACAACATATATGCTACAAGTGGCAGGATTTGTGGAAAATAAGTGGCAATATTTCACTAGAGCATATAAAGCTGTGGGTGGGAGAAGTAGCAGGTCTAATAACAGATAATTGAAATGTGTGACTGACTCAAATTAGGGCCTCTAGGGTAACAGTTCGGAACATATAAATGAGAAATGGGTATACTGTGTATATACGTAAATGACAATAAACTTTATATATTATGAAATGACTACATTATCAATCCATTCTGACATCAAGCAAATTTCCATGGAAAATTTCATTGCAGTTCCCATGCTTGTTCTTAGGAATCATTCCTGTTGCTAGATTTACAAACATTTAAAGCAGTTCAACAAACATGTCTCATGGCTATCACTGAAATACAGATGCTTTAATTTCTATTATTCTATTATAAAAGTGCAACATATGGACTTGTTATATAGTCCATCCCGAAATATATTTACTTATGTTTACAATTCAAACACTCCCTAGAATTTCCTTGGCTTTTTTCCAGTTCTTTAAACAGAGATAGGATCAAAGACATCATCCACAAAAAATAACACAGTAACATATTTCACTTATTTATTGAATTTATATAGCCTTAAAATGTATTTATAAATTTCAGGTTGCCTCTGCTGAAATCCTGTCTGCCCTTCCCTTTTCATCTATTTAAAACTGAATGAGGTTATTAGGAGCCAATGTTGTCCTTTATAGTAAAATCGTATTCCATAAATTGGAATGATGTCCCAAGGCTTTGAAGATATTCACCAACCAGCATCAGCAATCCCAATTTCTGTCATTCAAAAACCACAAGGGTTCAAAAGTAGGTATGATTATATATACTGATATAAGTAAGCAAAATCAGTAACTGCCAGCCTATGTAAGTAAAATCAGTGATCTCTAGAAATAATAGATATGCTCCTTCTTCAGAGAGCATGCAAGGTTAACAGTCTTTACCAATAATTGGTCGCAGTGATCTTCCATGTACATACATACATACATACATACATACATACATATATATATATATATATATATATGCTGCTTACAGCTACAGCCATTTGTACAGTAATAAGGAAATAGTACCATTCTGAGCCATACCTTGAGGAAGATCGCTTAAGGTATCTTCTTTGGATAACAAAACATTTTTCTGTCTTATATGTTCCAAAGCTTTTGGGGATGGGCGGAGATGGAGATTTGTCAAGTCATCTCTGTTTTCTCTCCTGGGAGTTTCATTCTGGAGTATGCCAGTCCCCTCCCCATTCACCAGGATGGCACAAACTACAAGTAGAATTAAGGACATTTCAGTACTCTCCGGAAAAAGAAAAAAAAATTAGACATTCTAATATTACCAAATGTTGGAGTCAAAATCTAAAATGATTTAAACAAAGCTGAAATTCATCATGTAATTCTCTCACAGAGCAGCACAAATCAACTTAACATTGCAGGAGGGGCAAAGATATTTATAGAACCATAGTGCAACACAAAAACAAAGGTATGAACAAAACAAGATATAAATGAAGGCCAGATTCACTTACATGTGAATGGCACACAAATGCACTAAGTATAGTAGGTGTTCTCATATTTTCAAAACCACATGCCCAGCAAATACACATAGACAAACATACTCTGCTCCTAGTCCAATTTTGTAACACAAGGACAGCATAGACTGGGATGCTTCCATTCCTCTGGGCAACAATTTGCCTAGTAGACTCAAAGACATAGCAACTAGTGGAAAAACATTCTGATCTGAAAATACTTCCAAGCACCTTTTTAAAATTAGGATAAATTTAACCAACAGAGAATCAACGCTGTTATAAAATTCGTGTAATTTAAAAATTACATTTACATTTACTCTCAATTGTTACATTTACTCTCAAATGTTACATTTACCCTCAAAGGTTCCAGGGAATTCGATAAGGGTAAGGGGACTCAAAACGCATCCCTTTACTATATAAATAATACACCCATCCCAGCGATTCAATGCTATCATATAGCCCCATATTAGCTATCAAAACAAGCTAAATATGGCAGTGGTGGAAAGAAACTCTGACCCGGCAGGCAGCTTCTCAGAAAACAGCCAAGCAACTGTGTGAATGGACTACCAATCATGTTTTATTTTATTTTCGGTGCCATTACCAGGCAGAAATAAGTCTCGTATTCGCTTAGGCGAGAGCATGTATTGCGACCAACGCAACTTTGTAACTTAGAGCTCCCAGCTATTTCGTCCACGCAGCGACCCTTTCACCCTCCTTCCAGGACAAGGCGCGTTCTCGAACATTCACGACCAGGATTTGTGTTTGGGTCCATTCGGGCGCAAAGTCATCCCGTCCCCCTGCTTACCTGCCGCCAGAACAACGCTCGAGATCATCACCGTTCCTGACAAGGCTTGCCAACGCCGCTCGCTTCGCTCCTATCGGGCCCGACGGGGGGCTGTAAAGGCGGGCCTTTTCCTGGACTCGCTTCTTAAGGCGGAGTACGCCAAGTAGCCGGGGCGGGCTTGTCCGGATATTGCGGCGACTGTTCCCGGGACCAAGACAAAGCAGACTCAGCCCCGTGCAGCGCCGACCGCCTAACTGCCAGGCTGATTCGAAGTACAGTCACCCAGCGCCACTAGGAGAGCAGCTCCCAGCTGGAGGGGCCGGGCCAGCCCAGGCAGGGCTCGACAGTGGACGCCACGCCCACTCCCTGGGCGCGAGCGCGGGCCCTCCTGCGGTGCGGTCGCCGGGAAGGAGTTCCTCGCCCTGCCCTCGGGCGCGGCTGCTTCCTCGCCCGGTTCCATTTCGTCTGGGAAAATGGCGCTTCCCCGACTTTTGGGAGGGCCAGAGTCTATCCTTCGCTCTTTAGTCGGTGATCCTCTGAATAGTAGGTGCTACAGGTGGAACTGTCCGCGCCCGCTCGGGTTCTGAGACATTAGCAGTTTCAAGAAACCACACAGTTCAGTTCCCTCGCGGATGTGTGTATCCCTTTTCCCGATTGCTAATACACGTTTAGGTTTTGGTAATTTAAAAATACACTATGCTCTTCAACGACGTCATCTACCAAACCTGGAACGGTCATGGCCTACCTTATCGGGATATTTTCAGCAAAGTGAAATCAGAAAATGTTGGTTACAGACTCTCTAGTCCGGAGTGGTATTTTGTACTGACTTTTAAACTGCTAAGCCAGGATAAAATGACTCAAAGTAATAACCCTTTTACTACAACCTTATAAGGCAGGTCCTGTATCACAGATAGGGTAGCAAGCTTCTGCTGCCACCTCTGCCCCTTTTGGTAATAGTGGGGTTGTGGGGCTGAGCGGACTGGGATTTGATGGACTCATGGGAAGAGTCAGAATTGGATTATTTCTGTGTAACAGAAAAGTGTAGGAGCTTGAAAACACAAGGTAATTTCTTTTACTTAAGATACCTTCTTTTTACTTAAGATACAACCCACTTGTCGCTGGCTGGGGTCATCACACATTTTTCTTCTTCACAGCATGATTTTAGAAAGCCAAGGATATAGATTAACGTTCCTCTGTTCAGTTCATCTTGGATACTTAAGTGTCTTGGCATTACATTACAGGTTTTATAACCACATGCCCAGCAAACTCACACAAACAAACACTCTGCTTCTACTCCAGCTTTGGTAACACAAGTACAGCATAGGCTGGGATGGTTCTATTCCTCTGAGCAGCTATTTGCTTACTCGATTCAGGGACTTAGCAAACCAGGTTTACATGATTCTTGTCCAGCATAGCTCCTTAATGCTGAGGCAGCTAATAATGAGGCAGTCTAATTGGATTTCTCTAGGAAGAAATTCAACACCTCTTTCAAAGAAATGGTTTCTATTCTTCATAAGTAGGTCACAGTGATGTCCTTTTAAAGTAAGTTGTTCTTGAATTAAATGATGCTAATAATTATTATTATGGACCAGACATTCCTTACTTAAGTGGGAGATCATGGTGGGAGGTCATGGTATGTGGATATTCCTTCTTGAAAAGTTATTCTCAGAAAGCATTGCTGGAAGCCTCAATTTCAGTTTCTAATGACTTCTGGCCTGAAAGGTGACTGAGGACTTCTTTGCTGTCTCCATGATACTATGGATGACTTCATCTGGAATTTTGGACTGTTAGCTCATCAGTCTGTGAATGACACACTACCTCTCCAAGCCTAAAACAGCAGGGGAAGTGATTAACTGAGGCAGTCTAGGAATGGTTGGGGGACATACTGACAGGTTGGAGATGTCAAGGATGTTGACCATCTAAAAATTAATTCAATTACTGTTTGATTGGATAAGGTACCACTTTTCAAAAAGAGTAAAGGCTGGCATGTCATGTGTGTATGGTCTGAATTAATTTTTTTTCTTTGCATGCTTAAGTGGTAATAGTTGGAAAGGGCAACTTTTACTAACATTTAATCAATTGCCAACTCTGAGTCATTCAGAAAAAATGTGGTCACTCTGATCAGCCTTGTTTCTGTGCTGACATGGTTTTGTTTCCTTAGCATTCTTCTAATTCCTTTCAACTTTATTGAAAACATTTATTTTGACAGCAACAAGTTTAATTAAAGCACTGGAGAACTTTTACAATCACACATCTTTGTGGCATTTAGGCTGCTTCTAATAATGGTCTTGTCCAGCTCTGGGCTTTCAGTTTCCTTTCCTCATGAACTAACATGACAATGTTTACTTTTTATCCATGGTGAAGTACAATATTTATTAAACCAATTAGATTGTTACACAATTTCTTATTTCCAAGAATTCTTTATCAGATCTGGTGACAAAAACCCAGGAGTTGAGTAGCTCCTTTCCCCACTAACCAATTTTATTAAAAGGCTTTCATGATGTGAACCTCACTTCATCAGCATATTCTAAAATGTTGGAATGTTTCTGAAAAAGAATCTTAGTCAACTGGACAAGTTTTGCTTATCCTATCTGGTGGCGATGGAGGTGGCGAAGCGATCATACTTCTCCGCCCTCATCCCCCTCTCCGCCCTCATTGCGTCCGCAGATAATCGCCCGGTCGCCCTGTTCAGGGTGTCCCGCTCCCTCCTAAATCAGAGGGCGGGGGACGATCCTTTGCAGGGACGCGCCGAGGAGTTTAGTCAGCATCTGCTGGATAAGATCGCTCGGATTCGGGATGGCCTGGACTCTGACTGGGCAGGGGCTGATGGTGAGGAGGCAGCTGGTCTTGTGATTTGGGAAGAGTTTGATCCTGTCACCCCTGAGGAAGTGGACAGGATCATGGGAAGCTTGAGTGCCACCATGTTTGTACTGGACCCGTGTCCCTACTGGCTTGCTTATGCGGCCTGTGAGGTGACACGGGATTGGATCCAGGCAGTAATAATGGCATCCTTGGATGAGGGGATCTTCCCTGCCACCCTGAAAGAGGCGGTGGTGAGACCCCTCCTCAAGAAACCTGCCTTGGATCCAACCAAATTGGATAACTTTCGTCCGGTCTCCAACCTTCGCTTTGTAGCGAAGGTTGTTGAGAGCGTGGTGGCACGGCAGCTCCCATTGGCCCTGGAGGATACAGACTACCTGGATCCATACCAATCGGGTTTCAGGCCAGGGTACAGCACGGAGACGGCATTGGTCACACTGGTGGATGTTCTTTGGAGGGCTCGGGATGGGGGATATTCCTCTTGGATCTTTCAGCGGCGTTTGATACCATCGACCATGGTATCTTGCTGCGACGGCTCGAGGGGTTGGGAGTGGGAGGCACCGTTCTACGGTGGTTCTCTTCCTATCTCTCGGGCCGTACACAAGCTGTGTTGGCAGGGGGGCAGAGGTCGGCTATGAGGCCCCTCACTTGTGGGGTGCCCCAGGGGTCGGTCCTCTTGCCTTTCCTGTTCAACATCTATATGAAGCCGCTTGGGAAGATCATCCATGGTTTTGGGGTGCGGTATCATCAGTACGCTGATGATACCCAGCTTTTTATATCCACCCCAAACCAGCCCAGTGATGCCCTCGATGTGATGTCCCGCTGCCTGGAAGTGGTACAGACCTGGATGGGGAGGAAAAGGCTTTGACTCAACCCTGCCAAGACCGAGTGGCTGTGGGTACTGGCATCTTGTTCCGATCGAGATGTTCCATCGTTGACCATCGGGGGTGAGGTGTTACCCCCTGTGGATAGGGCCCGCAACTTGGGTGTCCTCCTGGATTCACGATTGTCTCTGGAAGACCATGTGACGACCGTGACCAGGGGGGCATTTGCCCAGGTTTGCCTTGTGCAACAATTGCGCCCTTACTTGGACCAAGATGCCCTACGCACCATTACTCACGGACTGGTCACCTCCCATCTTGACTACTGCAACACTCTCTACCTAGGGCTGCCCTTGAAAACCACTCAAAGGCTTCAGCTGGTGCAGAATGACACTCCCATGTTACACCCCTCCTGCGTGGCTTGCATTGGTTACTGGTTGCCCTTCGGGTGAGGTTCAAGGTGCTGGTTATCACCTATAAAGCCCTTCATGGCCTAGGCCCGGGATATCTGTTGGACCCCTTGTAGCCAGCACCCAGTGCATTCCCACAGAAAGGGCCCCCTCAGGGTGCCGTCGGCCAGACAGTGTCGGTTGGTGAACCCCAAGGGGAGAGCTTTCTCTGTGGGCACACCCACCCTTTGGAACCAACTTTCATTGGAGCTCCGGATGGTCCCTGACCTTCACTCGTTCCACTGCGAGTTGAAGACCTGGTTGTTCCGTAGCTTGGACTGATGGGTTTTTTTTAATGAATTTTAAACTGTTTTAAATTCAATTTTAATTTTATATCATTTTAATAAGGAATTATGCATTTTACCATTGTGAGCCGCCCTGAGTCCTCGGAGATAGGGCGGCATATAAATTGCATAAAATAAAATAAATAAATAAATAAAATATATAATATATAATATAAAATATATAATCTAGAAGAGCCAGATAGAAACGGAGATCATTACTTTATATCAACTAGCTAGCAGATTATTGGTTTTTAGACTTGTCTATATTAAAAGATAAATATTATTTATCATTCTCCTCCTCCCTCACCTGACAGAAATTATACTTACCACATATTAGAAGAAATTATTAAACCCTATCAGACTAAAAAGACCATAGTCAGTTTTTATAAATACCTGTTACCAATTAAACAATCTGATATGCAGATTTTAAAGACAAAATAGAATTAAGGCCTGGAGATCCCCAACTTCTATATACTATTAAAAGATTACTGCCTGTAACCTTTAACTGAGTAAAATAGTGCATTGCAGGGCAAAATGTTTGAACCAAGGTATCTCAAATGGATTAATTTACAGAATGTTTCCAAAATTGGGAACCCATGACACTCATAGAATTGAAATTTGGCAAATTTTATAACACATTTTATGATATAAAAAATATCATCAAGCATGTTATGACATAATACAAATGGTCATTAAATATTTTCTGTGATCAGCTGCTGATGTTTGACGGCTATACAGTTCAACACAGGCTACTTTCACGGCAGACGCATCTCTGAATATCTCCCTTAATTTTTAAGAACCTTTCAAGTACGTTAGAAAATCTTCCATTGTTGAAGGCACTGAGGAATCTGGTAAGGGGAGATCTCTGAAACAACCCAAGGAGTCATGGGTTGCCTATGGTAGTTTTATCAAAACAATGAAAAAATGTTTAAATACTATTACCAAAAACCTCACTAGATCTTAGAGTAAGGCTTATACAACAAAAACAGTAT